CGGTCACTTGCAATTTTTGTCAAATGAAAATTCGCTGTTTTAAGAATTTTATCAAATAACAATTCGTGTAAATAAAAATTCGAATAAATGAAGATTCGTAAAATTAAAAATTCTGTCATTAAACAATTGGAATAACGAAAATTCTGTTGAATGAGAATTATGATAAAAATTGAATTAAATTATAATTCTTTTAAACAAAAGGTAGATAAAAATAAAATTATGTCAAATAAAAATTCGGTATTTAAAAATTAATTGTTGAATAAATTTTCGTTTACAAAAAAAGTAACTGAAATGTTAATTTGAAAAATGAAAATTCGTCTAAAAAGAAATTCATACAAATGAAAATTCTAGCTAATGATTTTTATGGGATATTCATGATTCTCTGAATTTTGAATCTTAAAATACACAAAATTAAATGTGAAAAATATATTTATATAAATTTATAAATGTCTGGGAAAAATTGACTAAATATTATCAAATAAGGAGATTGAAAAAATATTTTTACAGAATTAAATAAAATAATAATATATTTTTTTTTAGGTGAGTCCACGTCTGCAGGGCTTCCTAGAGAGAATGTTAGTTCGAGATCCTGCTCAACGAGCCACAGCAACTGAATTATTGAAGCATCCATTCTTGAGACAAGCTCAGAATCCAAGTATTTTAATTCCCCTAATGAGAGGAGCTAGACATACCAACTGCTGACGCACCAACGGTAAAAAAAAAATGTTACAGTAAAATTCATTTAATTTGAAAAGTCAGTTTTAAAAGCACTCGTCAGCTCAAATGTATAAAATATTGCGTGACGAAATAAGTATTTATCTAGTATTAGTCGTTTATTAAGAATAACATGAATGCACCATTGTCTAGTATATATTTATAAATATATATATATATATTTTTTTTTAATTAACTAATTTTTTTTCTACCAAAGTTATACAAGCATTTACAAAAAAAACAATTTTCAATAATCATTGATATGTATGTATATTTCTTTCAATAAGAAAATTTTCCTTTTTTTTTTTTGTAGAATTTTTTTTTTAAATTATTTACTGGTGCATTCATTTTGACACATTCCAGTGTGGTTTAATCGTATTTCTTTTTAAAGATTTTTATAAGACAACAAAAAAAAAAGTATTTCAAACTTTTCCGAAGACTGTAATAATAATAATAATAATAATAATTACTTGTGTGCCTTTCGTTTAAAAACTTGTAAGTAATTTTAATCTTGTTATTTATTTTTTATAACCGAAAGAGAAAGTCACGAAAGTTGTTAAAACAAATAAATAAGAATGAGGCCTCGAAAGAAGATTTCTGTTACCAAACAAACATTAATTGTTTAAATTATTATATCAAGTTATAATGACAAATAACTTTAATGATAAATAATTATTATTCGCCATTGAAACTTCGACAGTCAATTTTGTTTTTTTAATAACAAAACTTTGGGAAAGTTTGAAACTTAAAAATGTTTATATTAGATATATTTTATACTGTATATCGAGATAAAAAAAAAAAAATTACATTCATTCCTATGTGCCTTGAAAGTTATGAAAGACATGAAAAAAAGGACCGAATTTATATTATGTAAATATAGAAATTTTACATTTAGTAAATGACTTCAGCTTTTTGATGAAATTTTTTGATGCCTTAATGTAATTTTACATCAAATCCTGTTTTTGGGAATAAGCAGTTTTTTTTTTTTTTTTTTGCTTTTATTATACCTATATATTTCACTAGAGTTATTATTATTATATATAAAAAATATAATTTTAAATGAAGTCACTTTTTAATTTGTTAAAGTTTAATGAAAATAACATTTAAATGTATAATATTTACCTCAAGAAACACTATTCACCAAAGTCAGTTTAAATCGTTCAAAATTGATTTTACTTCACAGATTATTTTTTCGATAATCGTATAAATAATAATAATAATAATAATAATAATAATAAATTAGTTAGACATGTGTTATATTTGATATAGGCAGCTCACAATTATCTGGTCAGAATTGTAAGGAAAAATATCTGCTGGTTTTTTTTTATCTATCAATTTGATGATAATATTTTTTTATTTATAAAATATAATAAAAAAAAACAGTTCTCAAAGACTGACATTTCAAAGATTTAATGGCAAATTTTTTTTTTTTAGGGAAAAAAATACTTTAAATAAAATATTTCATGAAAAAAATACTATTAATATTATTTTATGAAAAATATTTTTGTTTTTATCAAAATATTTAATGTCTTTAAGGAAGTGCAATCACGACAGTTTCTGCAAAAATGTATTTTTACAAACTTAAAAAATTTTAAAGAAAAAAACTTTTTTGTCTTTTTTTTCTTCAACATTTCAATTGATAAACAATTATTTAATAAACAATAAATTAAATATTTGCTTAATAATAATAATAATAATAATAATAATAAGTAAAATAATAAATTTCCTTTTCAATGTTTTGATAGAGACTGTACGAGATTAATTGCCTTAATTTCCTTTAATTCAAGAAACTGATAAAGTTAATCAATAATATTTTTAATTTGAAAACTCATTTCCAAGAAAGAAAATCAATTCCATTAAAATTGAAAAAAATTTGCCAAATTAAAAAATTATTTTTAAAAAATTAATTTAATTTTATTTAAATTTTGTTTAAAAACCGTCTTTAAATGATTAAGTATTTATATAGAAAAATTTATTCAAAATGGACTTCATATTGTAAAAATATCTTTTCTAAACTTCAGCTCTAAATACAAGTAAGCAATAATAATAATAATTATTATTATTATGAAAGTAGTAATCACCATAGTTGAAAGTATTAAAATAATATCGTCATTTTTTACTGAATAAATTTCAGTGCTGAATTCTATGAAAGACGAACACGAAAAAAATGTATTCCTCGCTATGAAAAAAAATGTTACAATTTTTTTTATATAAACAATTTTGCTTGAGATTATATATATATAGATATATATAGATATATGTATATCCATGTATTTTATTTGTACTTAAAAATAGATTTTTATTCATATTTTATGAATCATCATACTATTATGATAATGCCTAAAATAAAACATTTCTGCGAGGATTTTTCTATAATGAAAATTTTGTACAACGCTATATTGTTCCAATAAAATGTGACAAAAATCACTTTTTTTACAGTTCATGGGAACTTTTTTTTTTTTAATAATAATTGTATAAAAAAAAATTCCAAAACTGCCACGTTGTCATTTTGAGCCAACAATTAACAAAAATTGTTCACCTTTTAATTAAATTGAATATCAATAATAAACGATTTTTCTGATGAAACAATGAAACATATTTATTGTAAAATAAAAATTCCATCATTATTAAATATTATTACTTTAATAATATTAATTAAATCATTAATTTAATTAATTAACTAATATTAATTAGGAGAAAGACGAACACAAATAAAAAGAAAAAAAATATTTCCTCTCTATGAAAAAAATGTTACAATTTTTTTAAATAAACAATTTTGCTTAATTAATTATTAAAATTAATTATTAAATATTCTCTATAACTAGATGGGTCAAATCATTTTATTTCGGCTAATGTATTTTAGACCACTTTAAAAAAACTCTAATACTCCGGAAAAATATTTTGGAGCGCATGATTATTTCATAATGTAACTTAATTAGAATTTACATTTTATAGAATTTTATTAGATAGAATTTTACTTTATTCGAATTTATGTTTTTTGAATTAATGTTCAATAGAATTTTAATTAACAAGAATTGATACTTAACAGAATTTCTATGTTATCAAATTTTTATTTAACAGAATATTTTTTCAATATAATTTCCATTTAGGGTAAATGTACCAATTACGGCGCGTTCATAAAAAATAACTATTATAACTATTTATATTATATTTAATATAACTGTTGCAAAATGATTTTAAAAAAAATATTTTTATCTTTTTTTTATTCAATTACTTATAAAAATGTACATTTAAACAATTATTAATTTAATTATTTGAGATGAAATTTTTTTCGCTTGCCGTAATTGAAACATTTTTAAGATTTCCATTGGCTTCAATTACGGCGGGCAAAGTATCTTCAAAATACACGTGATTTTGGTCACCGAAATTGATACAAACGCATCGTAATAGAAAATTACGGTATTAGTTTTAATTTCTCATATTTGTCTAAATAATCGATTTTTATAAAGTTAAAATTTTTTTTTTAATATCTAAATAACATAAACTTTTAGTTTAATAAGTCTTAAATTATTGAGTTTATACAATAGAAATGACGAATTTTCTATTTCAAAGGTGTTTTGACTCGAATCGCGCGCAATTAGTGCATTTACCCTATTACTATCAAATTTTAAAGTTTTAAAGATAAAAAATCATTTTTCTCAATTGACTTACTGATCGATTTTTTAAAAACAATTTTCAAAAAAACTTGTTCCATTTATGAAAATTTTAAACCTAGTCCAATCGTGGGCCAACAATTTTTTCAATATTTTAGGAATTTTTTAAAAATATTTTTCGTTATTTTTATCCTACGTAAAAGAGAGTAGTCAGGGTTGGCCACAGGGATGGGTAAATGTCGCAAACTCAAGGTTTGCTACGTATGATACCTAAAATGTGTAGTAAACGTAACAAATTGTCGCAAACGTCGCAAACCATATTATAAATATAACCTCACTTTTCGGATGTCAACTCGCCTCATCAGTCATCATCATAATAACAGATAAATTATAATATCTCAGGCAACTCAGATAAATAGATCTACTGATAAATATAAAGAGATGAAATATTCTTTAAATAATAATTTATTGCACTTCAGTTTAATAATTTTTATTAAGTTAATAAGTGTTTTTATATGTCTTTACTCTTTACTCTTCTGAAAAATTAAATAAAGATCTTTTTGATTTTTAGAAACAGCAGGAAGAAGCGGATGAAATTTCGAAGATATTGAATTTAACAGAAAAAGATCTTCAACTAGGGATGTTCTTTTTTGGATTTATTATTCCATTCGCGGTTGTCGAATCCAATTTTTTTAAAAAGTTTGTCAAAACTTTAAATCCGAATTACTCGCCGCCTACCAGAAAAACTCTTAGTAATTCTATTTTAAAAAAATTTATAATAAAATGTTGACCTCGATTCATTTTTAAAAAGAATGTCCACAAAGCAATAATCAAACGAATCAAACAAATATTCAAAAACTAAACACATAGCGGGAACCAACTAGATTGAGGTTATATTTGCTTTTGACCATTACGAGTGCCTACGTCATAAAATGTAACAAACGTTGTGTAGCAAACTGAACAAGTTGTATACACATGTAACATACGTAGCAAACTTAGGTAACATACATGAAGTATGATACTTACCCATCTCTGGTTGGCCATAGTTTTGATTTTTCGCTATAACTTCCCCTGTAGGCCGAATTTCGATATTTCTCCCATATAGTTTGAAAAATATACTAAAATGCAATGTTTTTGCGAAACATTGTAAAAATATTTGACCAACAGTTTCGGAGTTATAGTCAATTAAAAAAAAATGTCAAGGTTGAGCCACTGTAAAAATCAATTAAGTATGCAGATAAATGATTAATAATGACCTTCAAATGATAGAATGGCGCTCAAATTCACTTTGGAAATGAGTAAAGGAACCAAGAAATTTAAATAAAACGCCCTTATTGTGTAATTTTCAGATTCTCGCTTGTATCGCGAAGCTGGTCTGAAAAGTGAAAGAAGATTATATAAAAAATTTTTTATTTCCTTTTTTTCCAATGGAAATGAAGTTTTTGACACCTCTTTAAGTTGACAAATGAATTTCTATTGCAAGAATCCTTCATAATTGCAAAATTTTTGGGTGGCTGAACCCTGACTCACGTGTCGATTAGCGTCATATCACACACAAAATAAACGCGTGATACAAACACCAAAGTACGTTCCACATTTTCACAGAACATCGTCCAAGTGAGGCAGCCCCATCTACATTGATACTAAAATTTTGGAAAATTTTCAACAGCCTTTTCTTGAAAACAAGATGGTAAAATGCTTTTTCCTTTATGGATAATTGATTATTGGCAAGATATACACCAGCTAAAACTTTTTTTGAGTTAAAATAATAAAAAAAATTTCATGTCAATAAATTAAATATGAGCACTTTTTTCACAAAAACTGTAACAGGGGTCGTCCATAAATTACGTCACGCTTCGGAGGGGGGAGTGGAATTTGCAAAGTGTGACGATCTGTATAAAAAATTGCGCTAATGCATGTAAATTTTGTGACGTTAGGGGGGGGGGGCTGGAAAAAGGGCAAAATAGTGTGACGTAATTTATGGACGGCCCCACAGTACTTTCTCAGAAATTACAATCAAAAATGCAATTTCTATTTGGAAAATTAATAAACGCTAAAAAATACACGACCTAAGATTTACCAATCACGAAAATAACAAAAAAAAAAGTTTTTTAATATAACATATTTTACTCATTATGACAGCCGTTTGGCACGTTATATATGTCACCAGACGTTTCGCAGTTTTGCCGAAAGGAGGAGATTGGCGCTGTTGCTAACCACCTGAAATACATAATCTACCAAAGGGCTGTCACAATCACTAATCAGTAAAGCAGTATCAATATGTTAAATATTTAATAAAATTTTTTTTTGTTATTTTCGTGATTGGTAAATCTTAGGTGGTGTATTTTTTATCGTTTATTACTTTTCCAAATGGAAATTGCATTTTTGATTGTAATTTTTGAGAAAGTACTGTTACAGTTTTTGTGAAAAAAGTGCTCATATTTAATTTATCGACATGAAATTTTTTTCATTATTTTAACTCAAAAAAAGTTTTAGCTGGTATATATCTTGCCAATAATCAATTATCCATAAAGGAAAAAGCATTTTACCATCTTGTTTTCAAGAAAAGGCTGTTGAAAATTTTCCAAAATTTTAGTATCAATGTAGATGGCGCTGCCTCACTTGGACCTGGCCTTAGGGCGCACTCACACCTCTGGCTGCCTGTGCAGGCAGCCAGTGAGAGCCAATCAGAGAGTCAGTACCCTGTAAAAAAAGTTGGATAGCGAGAATCGGGAAAACGTATTGAAGCTCGGTATGTTGAATCCGTTATTTGAATTTTAACATATTGGATTGTTAGGTCGAATCCGTTGTGTGTAGTTAGTCCAATACGTTCGATTGAAAATAGCGTTAAAACGAATGAAAAAACGTTTTAATTGGGATAAAAGTGACCTTTATTAATAAAAAGGTTAAATAAATTGTGGAGAGACCAGAATTAAGAGAAAAATGGAACTTTCAATTAAAAATAATAGAATTAGGTTATTTAGTAAATGTGTTACCATTGAAGAGAGCTACTCTTTTTACCGACAATGTATACAAGTTATTGAATTTAAAATTCTATTGTCGATATAAAACTGAATAGAATAATTACT